TTCTGATCATGGAGTGGTAGGGCTTGTTAACACAATTAAAGCAAAACCAATATATCATTTATAATAAACCAGATTGAAGTGCCTTCATAACATTTTTTCAAAGAGCTTTTTAGGTTTCTTTTATGTTTTTTATGGAGGAGATATTGTTTTCGATTTTTATAATTTTAGTTTTTATAAATTTATTGTGTTTATCCATTTCCAATACAAGTCTATGACAAAAAAAGCATGATATTAATGAGTAAAAATGCTGCATCTGTTACATAAACAGTATGGAGGGGGGAGAACTCTTTCGCCACATTAAGGAACGTGGTGATCAAGCTTTCACTGAAAGAGGTACATATCCTCACAACACACACACACACACACACACACACACATGTTCTGATGAGAAAACAGTGAACACATCACATTTACTAATTCTCTATTTTTGGTTTCTCCTTACACATGATGAGTAGAAGCCTCGGAAATAATGAAACATATAGGAGAAGCTGTGGAGTTTCTGCATGGTATTAACATTGCTCACAGAGATCTCAAGGTGAGCTACTGTATAGCCATTATTATGCATCAGCACTATATTATATTATACACTATATTGTTCAAAAGTTTGGGGTCAGAAAGATCTTTTTTTATTACTTTTATTCAGGAAGACTGCAATAAATTGAGCAAAAGTAACTGTAAACACATCTTTAATATTAATATTAAAAATAAGTATTAATATTAAAATAGAAAATATTTATTTTTAATTGTAATAATACTTGACAATATTACTGTTTTTATATCAGGTTTATCCAAATGATTTTATGATATGGAACCTTTAACATAACCTAGCCATGTACTCAAAGTTCTTTTTGATAAGTGACAGAAAGACAAAAAGATACACACAAACAATGCTGAATGGTTAGAGATGGTGTTTAAACTCTGGATGAGCGTCACTAAGTTGAAGTAAAATTAAGGCAGAACGTATTAAAGCCATACTGTAACTTTGTAAATTTGCTAGTTTTCCTGAGGCCATTTGGCCTATCCTACATGTAACTGTTGGATCCTGCAGTGGTTTCCATTTTAAAATGTAGCCAATTAGGTTTCTTTGACTTTAATTGAACATGACAATTTAATAACTGCATTTAAACTTGCAAATGATCATTTTACAGCACATTTATAGAAGAACAGTCATTCTGTAATCTTATACTCACTCACTGCTGGAAGCTAAGACGAAAACTCAACATGTAGAGTTCATTTAGAAGTCACTCAGTATTTCAGACCGTTTAAAAAACACTGCTGAAAATGTTTCCTATTACTTGTTGGGTCCTAGTGTGAAAGCTTCAAATAAGATCATAAGAAATTAGTTTCTATTAGGTTCTAGTTGCTTTCACATTTCACATTTAATTCAATGTGTTACTTGTCATTTCTTTTTGTGAAATTTACCAGTAGGTATATTAATAATTAACGACATAGGAAGTATTTTTATAACACACATCATAAAGCTATATTTCCATGCATTTCTCTTATATTTAATTTCCAATCTTCTCTTGATTGGCAGCCAGAGAATTTACTGTACTCTTCAAAGCATCCGGATGCCCAGCTCATGCTTACAGACTTTGGATTTGCCAAAGAGACCACATCCAACAACTGCTTGACCACCCCGTGCTATACACCTTATTATGTGGGTAAGCAGACAAGTCAGTTTCGAGTTTCATTCGGTATCATAATACAGTGAAGCTAAAGCAAATCCTTCTCTCTCTCAGCCCCAGAGGTGTTTGGTCCAGAGAAATATGATAAGTCATGTGACATGTGGTCATTAGGAGTCATCATGTACATCTTGTGAGTGAAAACAATCTGATGGTTATGAAATATCACATCAGTGCTTCATATGTTATTTCGCTTTCACTCACAACCAATATGTATCCTTTAAGGTTGTGTGGATATCCACCATTTTACTCAAACCACGGCTTACCGCTCTCACCGGGAATGAAAAAACGCATAAGGAATGGCCAGTATGAATTTCCAAACCCTGAATGGTCACAGGTGTCGGAGGAAGGTCATTTTATAATATTTAACACTTCTAATGCCATGTTTCGTTCAAACATAATTAAATACATTATGTGATATGTCATTCTTTCTTCACTTAACAGCAAAGCAGCTCATTTGCCAGCTATTGAAAACAGATCCTACTGAGAGAATGAGCATCGCACAATTCATGAACCATTCTTGGATCAATGTGAGCGTTTCCATTTTAGCAATTAAAGTCTTGTTTTTGACAATTAATTTTGCATGCTGATTTTCAAGTATAAATTATCTATGTAAAAATAGGGGAGAATGATTTTGCTCCTATATATGTATTTCCATATTTAACGTTTAGTAAGACTATTTAATTTGCATATTTAATAATTTGCATTCCTAAGCGTGTTTCTCTCTCGGGATGTATGCAGAAGTCAATGAATGTTCCTCCAACACATCTACACACAAGTCGAGTTCTTAAGGAAGAGAGTCACGTCTGGGATGAAGTCAAGGTCTGTTCTCTGTATCATGTATTCAGATATGCATAAATCAAACAGTTTATCATACATACAGCACCGTTCAAAAGTTTGGGGTTAGAAAAAAAAGGATTTATATTTCCACATAAATGCTTTTCTGTTGAATCATAAACCATATATAATTATTCCTACAAAAATAATAAAGCATCACAATTGTTTTCATCATATTTCTTGAGCATCAAATCAGCATATTAGAAGGAAGATCATGTGACACTGAAGACTGGAGTAATGATGCTGAAAATCCAGCATTGCATCACAGGAACAAATTACATTTTAAAATATATTCAAATAGAAAACAGTTTGAATTGTAATAATATTTCACAGTATTACTGTTTCTACATAATTTTTAATTAAATAAATGCAGCCTTGGTGAAAATAAGAGACTCAAAAACATTACTTACCGACCCCAAACTTTTGAACAATAGTGTCTATGACCATCGGTCTCAGTCATTATTTTTTGTAAATGCTTTTGCTAAGTCTATTGTGTGTGTAATTACACAGGAAGAGATGACTAATGCCTTAGCAACAATAAGAGTCGACTATGAACAAATAAAGGTTAAACCGATCAAGGACGCGTCCAATCCTCTTCTTCTAAAAAGAAGAAAGAAAATGGCTGCTGCAATGGAAGAAGCACCAGGGCCGTGACAAACAAATGCACGTGGAAATGTGCATAGCTCTTGAGGACACTTCAAAAAATCAGATCACTTAATTGGAGATTGAGGGAAAAATGGGGCCTTTCATGGCATTTAGTCTTCATTTCTCCTTTTAAAGCCTGCACCAGTTAGTTATAGCGTAAATAATATTTGTGTTAACATTTGTAAGGATGCATGAGGTGTATCACATTTACTTCAAACTGTATCTGTAGTGTAAGTGTATTTTTAATAATTTTGTTGAACGTTGTTTGAAAATAATATCCATTTCATTAGTCACTTTTTTAAAACCAAGTATTAAAGGATCATATATGAATAGATTTTTACGTGCACCTCTAGTTTTCTCTTCCTCTTCTCTAAAGCAGCACAGCATGGCCTTGCCCCCTTTGTTGCCTTTTCCCGAGGGCGAGGTTTATCTGGGTTTGTTATGTCATGAACCCGGGAAGTAACTTGTTGTAGTCCCTACCAGCCGTTTTTGTAGGCATTAAACTGCCAGAATTTTAAAAGACGATATCTCCGTTTGCATTGAACTTTCAGCTTCGTAACTTTGCAGATATTGTTTATGCTCAAACAGCAACATTAGACACTAACTAACATTAAAAAAGTGAAATCGCAATCAACCACCCCTTTAATGTTTGCTGTGTGTAATACTGCAGGGGGAGTATGTTATGCATCCTATTAAAAAACAGCAGCCAAAAACATTACACCATGATGTTATATAAACATTGTTATGCATTAATTAAATAAAGTATGTATTAATCTGCATTAAGCTGAAGAAACGACTGCTGGTTAAACATGCCCTTGTGACAAATGAGTAATTGACTCCATATGAGTATTTTTCACATTATGTTTGTTCTGACATCATGATGTCATTAAATGCACCATGGCCAACAAATAAATATGGCTATATAAATATTTCCAAGTATTCTGAGCATTTCTTAATACGATGGAACTGATTTGTACATAAGAACAACACCATCCATTTATTAAAAACATTTAAAATGCAAACAATGGCTCTTAATTTTGAACTTTTTGGTATTTATGACTTGCCTTTTTTTTGCTTTTCTATACAATTATGTTTTAAAAAGTCATGTTTAACACGTAGCTTGTGCTATTGCTAGCCAGCTGGTTAACTGCAAGAGATCCAGTTGGGCTACTTTGAAACATCCAGTTTTACTGTTTTCACTAAAATCCATCATGTTTTCACTACACAAGCTATTTGTTGAGCTTAACATTAAGAAACCCCTTTTCTAGTATGTAAAACCACTGTAATTCCAACCCAAGATAAAACGTGTCCCATCATACTAAGTCAAATGCCCCAGAAATGCACGCACACACGCACAAAGGCTCATCCCGTGTAGGGATAATTATAAGGCTTGGGTCCCGTCCTGACGGAATCTGTGAAGTAAGGCTGTTAAAATGCAGATGTTTTGCCTTCTCACACATGGCACTCATATTCACAAAGCCTCAAGGCAGAAAACACAGCATAACATGTAAGTGAGGCAGTAGACAAAGCTTTACTGTATACTGGCTTTACACTGAAGGCTCTGGGCTGTGCAACATCCATTTATTGGAATGTGATTTATTGTATAAATACTGTAAAAACGGCTGTACGGGACACATTATATAAGGTACAGTTAATTATTTTTCTTCTGCATGTGTATAAATGTATTTCAGAATTATAAGAATATGAGTGTAATACAAACATTCATGATGTACCAGGATAATGATTTCATCGAGATGTTTGAATGCAGCATGATTTTTCTTATTCTCTCTCCATCTTGTTTCTGTACTTTATTTTTTCCCCACACATAAAAGGGGCAAAAAGACAAAAACCAAAAAGCACAGAGGCTACAACAACAGGTATGTGTTTAATCTTTTTAATTTAAGCAGATATATTGCATAAAACCAAATGCATTATGAAAGTTTTTTTTTTTTTTACTTAAGAGGAGTGCATTTTTGTCCATGCAGTTTATATAGTAGAACGACTGAATTGTTTTTACTGAATAATTATTTTATTGCAAAATATACTCCAATAATTACAATAATTACAATGTTGAAAATTATTTTTATTATTCTTTATTCTAAACGATGTTATCTCATTTCAATAAAGTAAATCTGCTCTGATATGTAGTTACTTAAACATTAAAGGGAATAATGTTGCATCATTGGCATTTTTAAATACATTTATGTCTTCAGCCAAACACCTGAAATGTAATTTGCAATAAATACATAAATAAAATAAAAAAGAGAGAAGGTATACGGACATATATGGTAACAAAAATACATCGTATGAGTCAAAATTATTGATTTTTCTTTTATACCAAAAATCATTAGGATATTATGTAAAGATCATGTTCCATGAAGATATTTTGTAAATTTCCTACCGTAAATATATTAAAACTTAATTTTTGATTAGTAATATGCACTGCTAAGAACTTCATTTGGACAACTTTAAAGTCAATTTTCTCAGTATTTAGATTTTTCTTGCACCCTCAGATTCCAGATTTTCAAATAGTTGTATCTCAGCCAAATATTGTCCTATCCTAACAAACCATACATCAATGGAAAGCTTATTTATTCAGCTTTCAGATGATGTATAAATCTCAATTTCGAAAAATTGACCCTTATGACTGGTTTTGTGGTCCAGGGTCACATGTAATCCATAAAAATAACACCCAATACATGTTCAAACAAGAATGTAAGCAGATGTATTACTGTATATCAGTGTATTATTTTCAATATCGCCCCAAGATGTGAAGCTGTCACCAGCACTGAGAGCTGGATTTATCAATCTTCATCTCTGTAGTGTAAACAGTACCGAACCTTCCTTTAGGCAAAACTCACTTCTCTTCACAAAAACCTTCTGTGTTTTCTTACAAATGAAAAAACCTACTGTATATTACATGTAGCATACTTGCCCAGACCTGAGAGATATTTTATGATGTCTGTTTTAACCACAACTTTGCTTTGAGAGATATAAAACATACCACACGTAAATAATGACGATGATTTCTTGTAATGATAGTATATATATGGAAACAATAGTCAGGAGGATATAAGATCTACAGTATGCATGTCTGTGCCTTAATGCTTGTGGAACATAATGATGTTCTTTGAAACAGCTCATATAAAACACAAAAAAATTGTTGAGTGCCTATACTGGCTCTATATAGTGGGGTCTGAAACCACTTTGGAAATATGGGATTTTATATGCATGTCCTTGTTATTATATGTATCTATTATGTTTAAGTACATGTGAAAAATGTAGAATAGATAAATAATACAACATGAAATTTAAAATGGAATTTCGGGGTCACTAATCAAATAAGTAAATGTGTAACATTGACATACAGGCAGGTAATGTTCTTTCTTTTACTGAAGCACAAGATACTCTTTAGTTCATTCTCATATCATGCTGGAGATCAAGATCATCATCATTATCACCACCACCACCACCACTAATATTAATAATAACAATAATCATCATCATTTTATATTCATTTAAATAATTTGAAATAAAAAAGTTTTAATTTATTATGAATAAAAATCAGAATGATAGTGTTATTTGACAATTTAAAGAATTTGTAATAACAAATATTAATTTATTCTGGATAATTTATAATTAAAATTAATAGTTCAATTACAAAGTTTTTAAAATAACAACAAAATTGTTTGATAATTTAATAATAATTTAAAGAATTTATACTGAAAAAATTATGAATATCTAATTAAAAGTTACTAATGTATTTATTAAAAATTTAAACATAATAATAATAATAATAATAATAATTTCATTTGATAATTTGAAGATTTGTAATCAAAAATGAGGAATTTATTATGGTCTCAAATTAATGAATTCATTATTTTAGTGGTCTCAAAAATGATATTTGCATATGTATTTGTGTCCTGACAGGAAACTCGTCACAATGAAAGGTTGGATTTTACTGCTGATGTTGGCAAGGCTTGTCGATTTTTCCATGACACAACCGACCAACTCTTTGACCTGGCTAAGTTATCTGCGCAACCGTGCCTACAGTCACGCTTATGGCCGCAGTCACAATAACAACCACGCTTCTCTAAGAGCAGAGGATGAGGATGAACCTCCTGTGCTGGACTGTCCTTTGGAGTGCGACTGCCCTCCATCCTACCCCAGCGCGATGTACTGCGACAACCGCCAGCTGCAGCACGTCCCGTTTGTCCCATCTCATATCAAGTATGTATACCTGCAAAATAACCAGATCACGACCATCACAAATGGAGTCTTTGATAATGCTCCAAATTTAGCTTGGATCAGCCTACACACAAATAAACTGAACTCTGACAAGATTGGTGACAAAGTCTTCGCCAAACTACCAAACCTCCAACGCCTCTTTTTACACAACAACAACCTGAGCCGGGTTCCACAGGGTTTACCACGTTCCCTACGAGATCTACACATGAATCACAACAATATCGCGAAGATCCCGGTCGAATCTTTCCGTGGAATGAGCAACCTGACGGCCCTGCACCTCCAAGTGAATGCCATTGAAGACCTCGGCAATGCACTTCAGGGTCTGCAATCGTTGACCCTGTTAGACTTAAGAGGGAACCGACTGAAGAAGATTCCAGAAAGCCTGCCGCCAATGCTGAGCCAGCTCTACCTCAAGTACAACCGCATATCCAGCGTTCCTGCTGATTTTCTGAGCCAGCGGCCTGAGCTGCGCTTCGTACGCCTGTCCCACAACCAGCTCACCAATGGGGGAATTCCAACCAACGCTTTCAATGTCAGCACACTTGTGGAGCTCGATTTGTCCTTCAACAAGTTGGAGAGGATTCCCACTATCAGCACCAGTCTGGAGAATCTGTATCTCCAGGCCAACAAGATCAAAGGTACAGAAAAAAAAACATCTTGAAGATGTTACAACTCAAAAGCCCATAAGGCATGTCAAAGGCTTCTATGCAAATCTTCTCCTAAAAAATATGCCTGTTCTAATAGCATACTTCAAAACAGCCACTTATTAGAATGATATATTGCACTCTAAAACAAATACTGTATTAAAACATAGAGTTCCTTTTGCACAATATAAGGTCCATATAAAAAAGAGAAAGAGTGAAATAGCATGTGTAAACTACTTCATTAAACTTCAGCCAGCATGATGAATTTCTTTCTTCTGCTGAACATAAAAGAAGATATTTTAAAGAATTTTGGTATCCAAACAGTTGATGGTAGCCATTGACTTCCATAGTATTTTTTTTCCATGGAACTGGATGACTAACAGCAACTGTTTGGTTACCAACATTCTTTAAAATATCTTCTTTTATTACCTTTGTTGTGTTCAACAGAAGAAAGAAACTGGTGAGTAAATGAACAGAATTTTATTTATTTATCTTGCTGTGCGCTATCTCTGTAATTTTAAAAATCAATCATAAAAATATGGAAAAATAAGTTTAAAAGGTAAAAACTTTAACTGACTGAAATAAACAATCCATTTCATTGTATATTTATTGTGTGGTATATGGCTGTCTCACAGTTGTAGTGTCACCACTCTTGATCATTCTCCCGTAATGTATATCTCCACTGAAAGATAACTATATACAGGAGGACAGATATAGACAGAATTATAGATATAGATCATATGGACAAATTAGTGAGACTTGTGACTAGTGAGCGTGTCAAAAGTTTTATATTAAGTTTGTTTACTATGTACTAACATTTAAATTAATAATTTGATACAATGCACATATTGTGTACATAAATATTTTTGTATTGTGTTTATATTTAAAACATAGAAAAATACCTGCATGTAATTAAAAAAGACTTGAATTTGTAAAACTCTGCAGGCCAAAATAGTTGCTAGTTGAAGTGATATCTCACACACACACACACACACACACACACACACACACACACACACAAAAGAAAAAACAATTTTTTTTAGTTTTAATTGTATTCCCACTGATGTACTACTCTGAAAGTTGCCATTTTTACCCTTTTTTGGCATAAAATATAGGCATATTAGGCATAGTTATTCTAATGTACATAGGCTCTATTTGTGCCTGCCTGGATAAGAGAATAACTGACTGTTTTCCCTACATTTTCCAGAATTTTCAGTGAGCAGTTTCTGCAGAGTTGTGGATACAAACAATTATTCTAATCTGCGTGTACTGCGTTTGGATGCCAATGAAATCAGAGCCCAAGACATACCGACTGAAGCTGTACTCTGTCTGCGCCTGGCAACCAACATCGACCTGTAGGCCTGACAGCATCACAGCCACAGAAACCAACTGTCGAACATGAGCATATAGGGAGAGAGAGAGAGAGAAACAGAGAGAGGGACAACATCTTGGACATTTAGGAAAATTTAGTTATTTGTATTGTCTATTTGACAGTAAAATGATTGTGGGGGTTGTAATAAGCAAATTAGTCACACATGACTAGCAATATCAACAGAAAATATGTTAGGATAATAATTATAACATCATTAAAACATTTGATGTTTTTGTAACAAGCCTGAGAATTTTGATATTGTGAATTTCAATTTACTGAATCAATAAGAACAGAAATTTATGGAAGCCCTTTTCTAGCACAGAATAAAACAATTAAAAAGGTAATTGTATTTTTTTGGGGGGTAATTCTGAGAAAAAAGGTCAGAGCTGCAAGATATAAACCCTCAGTTGTGAAATATAAACGTACAATTCTGAGAAAAAGTCCTAAGTGTGAGATATAAAAGAAAGAGATACGTTACAATTACATTTTTATGTTTCTTTTGTTTTTTATTCTGTGGCGAAAGCAAGCTTCCATAGGGATGTTAAATGCAGGTGTGCTGAGCATGCAGTAAAAATGTAATGCATGAAGTCAGTGTATTTGACTACTGGGTGCATAAGAGCATTTTATTTTTTATCTTTAATCTTCTTGTAAATGCATGGTACAAATAATGGTGCTAGTTGGGAAACTTTAGGGTTTTATTTTGTAATTGTCAGCCAAGATCTCTGGAACAAGATATATTGTCTGAAAGTTAATTTCAATGTGATCAAACTTTAAGAAGTCAGTTAATGAGGATTACCTTTTGAAAATATAAATAACTGAAAACTGAGGATAGATTAAAAATCTAAAAGTTCTGTTCCTCGTAGAATGTTATGAAGACCTTGAGAAGGTCCATCTGAATCCACTACAGTTTACCTACACTACAACCTTCTCAAAACTTGAAATTTATTGTCTAATAACAATAAAATCTATGATAAATAAATAAAAAAAAACAAGGGGAATTGTATAAACCTTCTTGTCTTCTCTTTGTCACAGTAGAGCTATGTTTATGGTGATGTATTGTTGTTTGGGAATATTTTGAGCTATCTTTAATTAGATGAACTTTAATGTTTCCCCCTCAGAATGTGCTAATCCCAGGCATATTCATTAGGTGTAATAAACAGCTTTGACCTTCAGTGAGAGCTCTAAGGGGAGCTGGTTGCATGAGGACATTGTTAATGTTAATTACTGGAGATGAGTTTGTCACACACTGCCCAAAGGGACTGATGAAATGTCAACATAACCTGGCGGAATATGAACATTCAGTTGAAGTTTTGCACTGGGGTCTCTGAGCAGTCAAACTGACTTCACACAAACATTCAGTTCCAATCCCTATAAATATTTTGATCTTGATTTGAAGTCAGTAAAATGTATGAATTCTGATTTGACAAATATGGAACAATTAAGCATCGAATAAATTGCAATTTATTGAGTTTTTACACACACCCATATTTATGTGTAAATAAACAAATAAATAGCTAAAACTAAAAGATGACATATATATCACATGATCAGATGAATATACGGTAGTGGCCAAAAGTGATGTCCGGAAGGTACATTTGGAGAATATTTGCTTTTAATAATCCTACAATTTTAATTAAACATTCAACATATGAGGAGCTGGTTATATTGGGAAGAAGAAAACACTAAACTTGGTCAAGATATTTGACTCACAAAATTATTTAGCAAAAAAGGCAAGCTACAGTTTATCATAGTTTTATTTTACTGTGAAAAATGCTTGGGCACTATTTCTTGTTCACAGGAAATAAAGTATTCATTATCTGCAATATACAGTAATCAGTTCAGTGTTTCCCACAGACTTACACTCTATGTGTGGCGGCACTTCCCCCAGGGGAAATATATATGTACAATGTAAATATAACACAGCAGACAGGCTTATTGAAAATGCTAATTAATGCTCTGCCAGCGGGAGGCGCTTTAGGAGTGGCAAAAATTTCCCCGGTAACGGCTGTAATCAAAGCAGAGCTGCGCTCATAGCTACTTTATCAGGCGTTATAAGAAAGATTAAATGAAAATGATGTCAAAACGTTTCTGAAGACAATCGGTTCCCTTCAAAGATACATTCATATAAAAACAAACGTGCAGTCAGGGTCGGCGCCAGAGCACACAAAGTGAGGTGGCAGGCACAAATTTTTGGGGGGACGC